CTTCAATCGTCTTCCCATCTTTACACGCCGCTCCTCGAAAAGAGTCGCCTCCGGAGACTCGTCGATAGTCCTGTCCTTGTTTTGCAGGTGGGGCTTGCTCCAAGCGCATCTTCCTCAGGTCCCGAATGTGCGTGAATTTTGGCTTCGGCAGTCTTCTTCTGTTCACGCCTTCGTCGTTTCCTTGACCGGCGCCCATTTTCTTCTTCTTCCTGTTCCGTGACTCAAATGTCGGCAAGTTCGATGCAGCTTCTCGAAGTCCAACGTGCGTTGCGGGATGTAGCTTCGTAATCGCATCTTCCATTGGTCCATGTTAATCCATCTGCTTGGCGTCGTATCCTGCAGCGTCATGTTGGCACGCTCCTCGCAAATACCGCATTGGATGAAGACAACGTAGCAAGTCCATCGGTTCTCCGACCTCGACTCTGCAACACGAAACTTTTAGGTTCAGTTTGTAACTTTTCTAAGGCTACCCCTTTTTGCTTTGCCCTTACCGGCTTATTGTCAACATTCTGGGGATTACTTAGCTGATCCAGAACGCGCCCAGGCTTATCATTCGCCTTTACCTTGATCGAGGAGCTACTACTTTTACTCATATCGTTCACTTTAGATGGCCCCGTTCGAACGTTGACCAGCTTAGGGTGTTTTGATGAAGCTTCCTCCATGGGCACCTTCATATTCACCCGGTCGCCTGAAGTCAACGGTCTCTCGTTGACTTTGCTGCCTCTGAATGAGAATTTCTGCTTCCGCACCGGCTCATTTCTATTTTCCCTTGGTCGCTGAAGACGACGAGTCACTCTTCTCGGTGGGTTTGATGTGGTCCGCTCTACAACTTTACCGACACGGTATATTCTTGGTGCCAATATATTGGTGACGGAGCTTCTTGCTGCACCGTTTGCAGTGTTGCAATGTGAACCTGGAAATGACGCATCGCTAGACCGCAACACTTGTGTCCGTTTGGTCTGCCTCAGCTCCAGTCCTTTGCTTCCGCCGTCTACTGTAGACACATGCGGCTACTTTGGCCTGCTGCGATTCCATAGTCTTTTTGGGTTTTCTAGCACGCTTGTTATGCCGGTCTCTTTGTTGATCTGGTGGTTTCCGTTCGCCTTTGCAGGGCTGACCTCCTCTGCGGATCGTATAGCCGAGTGCGTGCAGGATATTTGTCCCCAGCACTACCCTGTTATCTCCTCCTTTTCTAACAAAGAAGGCAGCTCGGATTGAGGTCCGTTGGGTACTTTTAAGGTCAGACGAATGGCACCTTTGAATTTCATCAAATCGCCGGAAGCATCGTGAACTGGTGGATATTCCTGTTGCGGAATCTGTTCCACATCTCCATTTATGTCAAATCCTTTTTGCTGTGCTGTCAACAGCAGATCGAGTGGCATAATACTGATTTGTGATCCACAATCTACCAGTGCTTCCCTCTTCAGGCCAAGAAACTTCACCGTTTCTAGCGTCTGGCTGCCCACTAGATCACTAGCTTTCTTCCTTGCGACAGTACTGCATGAGTGCCGCAGTACGCTGGAAAAAGATCCTGCATCACGTTCATTCGTGGCGTTGCCTTTGCCTCCTTGTGACACCTCCCTTAAACCTCTGGGAGTGTACTGGATGCTTGAGGTTTCCTTGCAATCCCTTTTGAAATGTCCAGGCTTTTTACAGTTGTGATACAGCAACTGTCGCCTCTTTGATCCGTTTTGCTGCCTGTTACGGTTGGGGTTAACCGGTCCTGTGTGAACTTGTTGCTCCTTCTCCACATTTGTTTGATCCACGTGTTCGCGCCCTTGTGTTGTTTGCCGTGGGAATCGTTTGGACTCGTTTGTGGCCTCCTGCTTCAAGTGCAGTGCCACTTCCCTGCTCCTCTCTATCCGCTGCGCAAGGGCCTTGAGCTTCTCATATGCTTCCTCCGTAGGAGTCTGTTCTACCTCTGTAAAGAGTTGAACATACTCCGACCAGTCCGTGAGTTGTGCGATCAGTTCTCCAGTACGCAATATGGAAAGTTCCTTTTCCGCCGATTCTGGATAGGCTGCCCTTGTTAATTGTTCCAGCCGCGCACAGTACTCCGAAATATTTTGCCGGACGATCGGAGGTTTTTGAGGCTAACGTATGCCTCCATTCTGTTGGCGGATTCATTCTCTTTGAATTTGTCAATGCGGCCACAAAATCTTGGAACGTTCCTTCTCGAACATCCCTGGGAAGAGTCTCCACACTATAACCCGGGGCTGCCCTGCTAGTTTTGAACATAACAAGTGGATAAGGATCTCATCGCTCAAGTTCAATCCATTATATTTAACCCTGAAGGAGAGCAGAAACTTTTCGAACCCTTTGCCCTGCGCGTTGTCAAATACCGGGACTTCTGGTAGCGCCATCGCAGTAAACGCGGAACACACAGCATTTGTCATCCCCATTTCAGAAGCGAGTATATCATTCCTACCTTGGCAACTCCTCCTCAACGTGTTGTAGAGGGATTCCGGCAGCCTTGGCGGCTCTCTCGCGAGCTGCTCTCTCTGCAGATAGGGATTTGTTTGCCTCTGTGGCAATATATAACGCCTGTTCTGTGTTGCCGGCGCGATCCTATCACGCAGATACTCACCTCGTGCGGGCAGCGATTGGGTCAAAATCGGCCAGCTCAAGGTTCTTCGGGACTTCATTGGAACGCACTTGCTTCAGCGCATTTTGGAAATTGCTCGCCATGGTGTCACTTGACTGTGCTTCACCTTGGTCCTGAAGAAGATCTGTAGTCGTTATTTCAAACTCTTCTCCCCCTATACGCGGCTCTTCTACTTGCGCGTTATCGACTACTGACCCTAGGATGCGCTGTACGCTTCCCACAACTTGGGTAGAATCTACTGCAAGCAGTTGTGATAATTTTCTCATCGCGTCATCGTCAAACCGCGCTTGCTCCAGGATTTCAACTAGGTCTTTTTCTAGCTGAAGCAGATCTACACTTTTGAACTTGTTTAGATCCTCCAGTAATTGCTCAATTTTCCTGATCTCTACTTCCAGTCCCTCACGGGCGCTATCTATTTGCAAACAGTCCGCGCTAGTGCTTCTAGGGCGTCTCCTAGTTTCCGCTTTTCGCTTGCCCTTATTCACTAGGTTTCGGATCTCTGTCACATACTCGCTCATTTTGACAGGTATAACACTCACCTGTGGGACCTGTTTCTCTGCGAGTTGACGCACTTGTTGCGTTAGCCCGGTTATCTGGGCTTGTAGTTCCTCAATGCGCTTGCCATCATCGTCCATGAGGATCATGGCTTCCATTTCCTCCTCAGAGGACTGCGCCATTTCCTGTAAGAGGAACAATCACTCGTTGCTTCGATAAACTTCCCACTATCGATCGACGAGGAGGTTACTGCTTCACGCAATTCTGAAGCTAGTAAGTTCCGACGCTCCTACTCACCCCACGGTGATGCAAGGTTCCCTCGTGCAGAGGTTCCCCTTTACGTGGGTTTGCTCACGGCCTCCACACTCAGTCTGTGGATTGACCGACAATTCACCCCACGGTCAATCCAGGTACCACCTCGATCAGAGGTTCTCGTACCTTTTTGTGCTTAGAAGTCTTCCACAGACGACCTGTGGATCGACTAGCACAACTGCGTCCACAAAGATGGGAACAGAAAAGAGAAGAAAACTTTCCCCCGAAAAAAAAGTTCGCAAAAAGAAAGCTTCCCTTTTTTCAGTTTAGTTCGGCCCCCATGTAAAACAAAGAGACAGAGGATTGGCGGTTGGTCCCTTTTTTGTGGAACAGCACGACCGTGGAATAAGAGTTTATCGACAAAAACACAAAAAGAATACAGAATACAAGATAGGCAAGAACAATAAGGAAAAGGCAAAAGACGTGGCGCCTCGAGATCGAACAGAGAGAACTTAAAAGTGCACTTCGAATGATGCAACACCTGCACTAAGGCCCGCCAAGATGGCTAGTGGTCCTGCCGCGAGCAGGGAGCGCGGCAGACAACAAATTCAAAACAACAAGAAACAATATAAATGGATCAAAAGAACTATCGCACACACGTTATCGTCTTCAATCGTCTTCCCATCTTTACAGTCGAAAATATTCGATGTTCGACTAGTCGATAATTTTCATATTTCAAAAATATTTGATATCGATCTATCGGAATTCTTCATTTTTCAAATTCGATGTTGGATATTCTTGGTTTTCGAATAGATTCGATTATTCGAAAAAAATTTCGAGTATTCTGAAGTATAGTATGCATCACTTCCGAAAAGGCCCTTCGACCAAGGATCTGTTAGGAACCCTGGAGCAGACGAACATCTACTTCAAAATTTGAAAGAGGCAGAGATTTGACGGCTCAAATCGTAGCGGTTTTTTGTAGTGAAAGTGTTTAAATCGCGCGATGTAAACGGGTAAACAAGTTTTTCCTTAACGAATCCATGTAATGTTTTGTATTTATCGCAATAGGAGAACTGGTAACAACACGAAGATGATGAAGTCACCAAGTCCCCAAGCACCAAATCACTTTAAAAAACATGCTTCCTCTTTGATTCAATGCGAGAACAATATGCTCAGCAAATCAACAAGCTTGTGTGAACATAGCACAACATTTGAATTCAACTTTTGCAGAATATGCAAAAGGTGGATATAAGTGTTGCAATTTGTTGTAAATAATCTTAGAACCTATAATAAAGGCCAACTCACAGAAGGTAGTGCAATATAGTCGCCCTCACCCCACTAGTCGGTCGGTGGACGAATTCAAATTTGAATTGGAGCAGGCCTGTCACGACAAAGCGCGGCAGGAGACAACGCTCAGCTATTACAAAAACTCGATATAGGTCAAAAACGTTGTAACAATGCAAAAACTGCTATGCAATGGCGAAGAAATACGCAAAGTGGAAGCGTGAATTTGAACGGAGAGCTAAGGTGCCGTGCTCTGCCGCGGCCTGCCTGCTCCAGTTCGAATTCGAATTCGTCCACCGACCGACTAGTGGGGTGAGGACGACTATAACAAGCCAAAGATTCGGTTATTTTTCGTATTCTACAGATAATGAAAAACCAATATTCATTCGGTTGAAAGAAAGTGCGAATCCTAGCGAAAGAAGAGGACATGCCTACTATGGTCAAACAAATTTGAAAATTCCATACCTGTGCTCCAGACAAGCAGAACCTTTTGCAGAAAGTAAGTCTTTGTATGCGATTGAGATAATAAATTTTGAAATTGAAAAAAAATATACTTTATCCCTTCGTCTGCCAATTATTTGTCTTCTATACACTTGAAGATGATTCTTTAGTTGTTATGTTTTTTTGCCGAATTCCACCGCTTACACGTTGAATACATGGAAAGAACTGGCGAGGATTGAAGAACAGGTGTTTTCAAACTGAACATGGTTAAAGGCAAAAAACGTTGCGTTATTGCTCAAGTTCCGCTCCTCCTGAAAACTATTTTTTGCAAGATAACATTTTCACTTATCGCTGTGTGAATTGACTTACATTTATAAATGAATCGAAAACGTTTACCACATATAGGGTGTCCCAAAAGTATGTATACACTGTTTAATCGTAAATAACTCTCTTGTTATGAAGTCTTTCGAGAAGCTTGAGGACATTCTGTAGAGCGACGTTCGACTTCGATTTACAGCATGGAACGAATCATCAATCACTCTTCATTACTGTGGGGTTACGGTAAAAACTTTGCGAAGCATTTTCGGAAATTAAAAGCGATTTTTTGTCTCAGAAGGAAAACCAAACAAGCCAAAAACTCTTGCACTGGACTAGTCGAAGTCGCTGATTCTAGATATGACGTTTGCACTCCTATTCTAGGTTCGAGGTAAAATCTTTGTTTCCGATGTTTATCAAAAGTGCAATTACACCATTAAAAAATCGAAAAACTGGTAGAAAGCTGTGCAGTGAAATTGGCGCGTCCAAAAACCTTGCTACACGAAATTCCAGACTTTTTGGGTTTTTTTTCATCAAAAGCTTATTTCCACAGCGGCACTGTATTTTGAAAGTTTTACCATAATCCTACAGTAATGAAGAGCGATGAATGATTTGTTCCATACTGCAAATCTAAGTTGCACCTCACTCTGCAGAATGGTATCTCAAACTTCTTGAAAGACTTCATGACAAGAGAGTTTTTTCAGGATCAAACAGTGTATATTTTGGGACACCCTGTATAATGATCGTTTCAACTACGAGATTCGAGTGTTACAGGTTCAACAGATTTAACAAACTGATTAACTTTTTTCATTGATGTATCATCAGAAGTCTTCATGATTGAGTGCAGAAGCGAAACTGCTGACGTAACCATGTTTCTACAACGGCACCCTAGAGAAATAATCTCATGGAAAATTTTTATTTTTTCGTGTCATATTTCAAAACTTTTCTTCCTATCCATTTAACGGAGGGCAAAGAGTAAGAATTAACAAATCGGTTAAGGAAAGCGGATGAGACTATTTGAACGGTTCAAGTTTGTATGCTGCTTTGCTATCACTTTCCGAGTTAATTTTAAACGATGTATAGCTGAATTCAGTCGAATCAATCTAAAGTTCTTTGAAAATTGTACGTGGAATGTAATTGGCTTCCAATTCTGCACGCCACCGTCTCCAAGTTACATTGAAGGCGAGTTCAAGTATGTATTGACTCTAGCGTCTTCCATGTATCACTTGCTATCATAATTTATACTAAATCGTGCTTAGCCTTGTTACTGCGTTCTTATCGGCATGCATCTCGTTTGTATACAAACATGCTCACCTCAGGTCGCCACAGCCACGAAGTGTAAAAATATGAATCGATAAACAAAAGAAGTGGGTTCTGGAAAAACCATGCACATGAGGGAAGGGTAACAGGGAAGAGATAAGACAGCGTCAAGCAGATTTGTACTGTAGGATCAAAAGTTCCAGAATTATATAAACCGAAAAAGTAAAACAAATCTTGTAGATATATTAAAATTTGGGTACGGTCAGTAAAATTGATAGATGAAAGAGAGCGGGAAAGTGTTCTTCTTACAAGGGAAGTAATTCCCATTTGATATGAAATGCATACCATGAAGAGCACTTCTGAACACTGACTCAAATCTGCGCTCCGTATCAGCGGAATACTTCTCTAGAGGGAATTATGGACCGTCAAAATCCCAAGCTTGGGCAGTTCAAAAACGTGTAGTAATCAAGGTGTTGACAATGGAAACGAGTGATCATTGGTTTGGAGTAGACAGCGAACTTTTTGCATTTTAATTGTGAGTGCACATTCGAAATTATTTGCAAGCGCCTGCAGTGTGATGTGCAGCAGAGCTTATGCTGTTTTCATCCTGAACTTGCTGCGCTTCGTCCATCTTGTAATGCCATTTTACCTCTGTCCATGAATTTTTTGTTAACAGAATTTAAGCAAGTAGCAAGCAGACACTTTCAGAAAGGTTTTGTAGAGATTGATTATGCCAAGAACTTTACGCGAGTGCTTGATGATTTCTAATCCATATCGAATTTGCACAAAAAATGCAAAAGCCCTTGCTATCACATTTCAACCGTTGATCACTCGTTTTTTATGCCAGCACTTACACACCACTGGAAATAGCTCACAGTGACAAATCCTCGTAGTGAATGGCCCAAAACTGGGACTTTCAAGCGTCCTTTGAGTATCGGTTTGTATGCACATGATCACCTCAGGTCAACATAGCCCACGAAGTTGTATAAAACGATGAATAAAAAGGCGATTAATAAAACATAGATTCTGGAGAAGCCGTGATGATGAAGGGGTGAACGAGAAGGTTAACATGTTATGCAGTATTTTCCTATACAGGATGTTCCAAAAAACGTGAGCACCGTTTGATCGTTAACAACTCTCTTGCTTGAATGTCTTTCGCCGAGCTTGAGGTAACAATTTGTAGAGCGAGGTTCAACTTAGATTTACATTATGGAGCGAATCATCAATCACCCTTTACTACCGCAGGATCACGGGGGAATTTCGAGAAGTATTTTGAGAAATTAATAGCGACTTTTGCCTCAAAAGGATTACTAAATCAACCAGAAACTCTTGTACTGGATTACAATCGGAGTCGCTAATTGAATATGAAATTTGCACTTCACTGCAATGCTTCTTTCTCAAGTTACCTCAGGTGACAAGTGTTTTTGCAATGTCTGCCAGAAGTGTGATCATTGAAACATCATTGAAATCATACATCATTGAAACAGCTCAAGAAAGTGGTAAAAATAAGTGTTGCGGAATCAGCACGTCAGAAAACCTTGTTACACAAATTTCCAACGTTCTTGACATTTGTATCATCAAAAGGACTATTTCACAATGGCGCTCTGTGCTGGAAGTTTGTACCCTAATCCCACGTTGATGAAGAGTGATGTAGATGATTCGCTTCACGTTGAACCTTCTCTAAGAATGGTACAATCGTCCTCACCACTAGTCGCTCGGTGGACGAATTCGAATTTGAACAGCAGACTGTTCGAGACGGAGCGCGGCACCTCAGCCCTTAGTTGAAATTTACGCAGGTTTCTTTATCATTTTTCTTGGTATTTGTTCAATCTTTGTAATGTAGGATATTCGCGAGCAAAATTGACCAAGTTGTTCGAGCGTTATTTCCGCTATGCTCATTACTTCAACTCTGTATAGAGAGTGCTGTGAGCTATACTTAGGGGAATTCAAAATTTTTCGAATATTCGAACATCGAATAATATTCAAAAATCAAATTTTCGAATATTTGGTTATCGAATATTATTCGAGAATGGACATTTTCGAATCGAATAATATTCGAATATCGAATATCATTCGATATTCGAATTTTGATTATTATTCGGTTCTCGAATATTATTCGATTTCGAACACTGTTTAAGAGTTATGTCAGTGAGTCTGCCTGTGAAAGACCAAGACATCTAACAAAGAACTGTTTCATGTAAGTATCAAGGAAAGACACTTTTTATGTTAAAATTTGCGATGAAGATACGGTTTAGTGGTGAAGAGACTTAAAACCTAAATCGTTCTCCTTGACGGTTGTGCAAAGATTTTTGGAACTCTGAGAAAGACTAAAGCTCCTCAAGAGTTGTGGATTGGTATACAGGGCTTCCCAGCAGTATGTAGGTCTGTGTGCTGACATCAAATTAGACTTACAGTATGAAGCGATTTTTGATTGCTTTCCACTGTTAAAAGTTATCGTAGAAAAATTAAAAAGGGTTTTGAGACTCTGAAGAGTCAAGAGCCGTTTCCCCAGAACATGGAATGGGCCGAAAGTCTTACACCAGACTTCTAAAGACACTCATCATATACAGAACTAGCTGGCTTACCGGCTCCGCCGTATGTTCCGAATAGAAAATTCCATTTTTTAACCGATCCGGACCAAACTTGGCACACAAACACTTCGGGCCCAGGCAGGTGTCACAGTCCACTTTTCGTTTCTCAAATTTTGCAAAAAATCGATAAAATCGACATTGATCGATAACGAAAAGTGGACTGTGACACCCTCCGGGGCCCGAAGTGTATGTGTGCTAAGTTTAATCCGATCGGTTCAGAAATGGAATTTTCTATTCGGAACATACGTACACACATACAGACAGACAGACAGACATACAGACATACAGACAGACAAACAGACATTCAGCTTTATATATAAGATTTGCACTTAATCGTAATGCTTTAAAACATATGCCAGATACACCGTAACAAACGTTTTTGATCGCCTTTCAAAAACGTAATTGCACATTTGAAAAGCTGGAAAACTCGTACGTATCAAAATCAGCATACGTAAAAACTCTGCTATACAAATAGATCATTTTTTGGAGGGTGGGGGGGGGAAGATTTTTTTGTTTTATTTCGCAATTGCTCTAAAGTGCGGTTCATAATTATACGAACACTTAAAATTTTGTAAGTTTTTGGACTTTTTGGGAGAAACTTAAAAAGCCGTTGGTACCACGCGATACAGCACAGCCGAAAACGGTATCTGATTCATAAGAATGGAAATTAATGTCAACTGTAGGAGTGTTTTTCGCCTAATGCGAATTTTTAGCGGTTCATAATTATACGAACACCTCAAACAATGGTTCATTTTTCATTCAAGATTGCAATCATTTGAGTCCAAATTTTTTGTACAGTTACAGTAACAAAGTCTGACATATCTGCTATACACTAAACCCAGTGCATTTCAAAAAGAGGACCTACTTTTTTCAAAAGCTTCAAATGCTTTTG